AATCCGCCTACTCATATTTTTGACTAAAATGGATCTCCAGAACATCGTCTTTTATTCGTGTAATACTGGTAACAACAGTGTTTATTCTTTTAATTTACAGCAAGATAATGTCAAATCCTGCACACCAAGGTTGGTGTTTAATTACTCAGACGAGACAACGCTGTGACAATATCGTTACCTTAGAAGTGGTGCTTCAAACCCTACAAATAATTTCGAAACAACGTACTGTCAAATCTAAAACTTTCACTGTGAGCATATTCAAGCTGGTATAATTGTTAAAGTACATAAAAATTTCCAATTTCTTTGATGCAGACTAAATGCGTTAGCAGTGAATGCAAATTGTGCATTCGTGCTAACAGCCATCGATCCTTATCAGAATCATGGCTTGCTAAGGCATTTTAGCATCCATTTTTCGTATCCACTTATCGAATTTAAAGATAATAGTTTCATCCTTCAAGCTGCTTCCCCCCTACCTTTTTTTTTTAATAAAAAAATTTAGATGAGTTGGACCTTAAAAGCTCAACAGGACTAAAGTATGTCTTTGGACTCAAAGATTGCTTATAGAGATATTTACAAATTGTCCACCAACAAGGTTCTTATATCGACAACAGGATTTAAACTCATAATCTTATGGGTTATAAACAAATTTCTTATCAATTAAACTAACTCTTATTAATTGTTTTTGCCTCCTCTTGAGTTAACAGGCGAAGGCCTGTGGGGGATATATCAAAGCAATGAAGGCTCATGGATGAGTTCTGCGCTTAATGGGCCAGGCAGTCATCCAGCCCAATAGACTGCTTCTCTCAACTCATCTCCAAACCTGCAACTTGCCTTCGATCCTTGAATAGGGCACCGATGTGAATCTTTTGAATTTATATCATTTAGTAATTTGGCATCATATATCAATGCGAGTAATAATATAAAATATAAAAACCATAAAAAATTAAAAAATAATACCACTGGTAACCCATCAAACCTCTACATATCAATTTTTCTTTTCAAATGTTTTGTTGGGCCCCAATTTGTTATCTTCTGGACATGTTAACCGAGTTAGAACACTAGAAAAATCAGTACAATCCTTTTCTCTGAAAAAATAGGCTCCGCGAGGATTAAAAATGAGGGGAGAAAAACAGTAGACAGAGGGGGGGAAAATTAGCTCTTGAGGGATTGTGACGTGGCCTTTTGACAAAGCAGCTAGTTATCCTGATCTATCCATCAGCGTTGACCAAGGAGCACACCTTTTTATGGAGTTGATTAATTCATAATCACTTCGAAATTAGTAATTAAACTGAGCACGCTAATTAGAAGTGATCAGATTAGAGAAGAGGTCAAAATAACTGGCCTCGTTTTTCTGGATGCATCAATTAAGTAGGTGTGCTGGCCACAGCCCTTATTGGCTTTGCTTGCATTGAAATTCATGGCAGCTTTCTGTTCGGAATCACGCCACCCTCTCTGCTCTGCTCACTAATTATGCCTCCTTTGCTTCCCTCTTCCGTTTTCGTTTAGGTGATCAGTCCCCATCCCTTCAACCTTAAATTCTGTTCACATTCCATGTTTTTTTTTTTTTTAATTCGGACAATTGTGACCTTTTTGTCTCCGGTTTCATTAGTAAAATACAGTTAAGAGGCTGAGAATATATTATCATTTAATAGAAACATCAAATATCCGTGTATGATTCAAATTGAGTATAGTTAATTCAAAGGGTTAGGCGAGAAAGTGACACGGTGCTAATTATAGCATAACTTCCCCATCATCAACGTAACAATTTGAATTCATGTGCCTCATGGTTATCATACAATACTTAATTGACTATAATATTATACCACCTCCTATTGATAATATCAGGGGTAGTTAGCAGGCCGGATTTATTTTAAGCATTCCATTTTGCGCATGAGACATATCATTTTTCTCGAGTTAATTTACTTAATTTATAATATCATTTATAAATATCACGTCACATGATAAATGCTGCCATGTGGAAGAGTGAGTAATGCTTCGGATAGGAGTTGAACCACCAAAGACAGAATCTTTGGGGTCCCATGGGGGAAGTTCATAACTGATCCAGGTACTAACCCCCCCCCCCCACCTACCACCACGTCCCATCCATAATCCCATCAGGAGCAAAGTCTTCCACATACCCTTTGATTCTCCCTTCCTCTCTTTTTTTTTGGTTAAAAAGAGAGACTCCTTCAACGTGATCAATTTTTTAGGATTATTATACAATATTAGAACCCTATTAAAAAAATGACAAATTTTAACCTGCTTGGTGGTAATAATTGATATATTCATATGACAAATTTTTGCTATTTTTTAAATTAAGAGTTCCAAATCATAATTTCACATATTGGTCTTTATTTACTATTTTCCCATAAAGATATCTATACCTGTAAAAAATAATTTATAATCAATACGAGTATGTATAATCCGTTGTTTTTATAATTTTTTCGTGACATTAAATATTTAGGTTTATTATTATAGTGATAATTAGGGTAAACTCCATGAATTTGTATAAAATCCCTATTTAGTATAAAGGAAATGGAGAGGCGAGAGGAAGGGGAGGGGATAGGAAGAAAATTTTTTAATAAGCTTGATTTAAAAAATTAAAAAAAAATAGGGTTAAAAGTTTTTAATTATTTTTTATTACTATTTTATATTATTTCTTCTCTTTATTAAAATTTTAAAACCCCCCACTTTTCTAATTTTTTAAACAAAGCTCATTAAAATCTTTCCTCCTCTCCCCTTCTCTTATTTTTCCTCATACCAAACAGATTGTGCATGGTTTGCTTGGAATATAATTTTATGATATCGAATGTTACTAAAAAATATTTTGAATTAGATACTATTTAATATATATTCTTTTTTAATCCTGATCAAGAGCTAAATATAGAATTAGAGGGGTGTTTGGGAGATCTATGAAAGCACTTTTAAACAGTGCATTTATCCAAATCGAGATAAAAAAATTTTCACTTATTTATCTCAAACATGATAAAATTACTTTTAAAATTATGATTTATTTTTTTATTTAAATAGACCCTTATCTTTCTATGCCAATTAAGTGCGGAGTAGCAAAATTCAACAATGTCAAACTAAAAAAAGGAAAGAAACAACAAATTGCAGCTAAGTGGGGTAGACGGTTTGGTGAGTGCCTGGTGGGTCCAACCCTACGATTATCCAAAAGCTCAAGTGGACCACTCTAGTGGTGCGCCTTCAATTGTCCCTATTGGAATGGACCAAACCGTAAAACCCCAACGCCCCAATGCTTTCCTGGTGATGATAATAAATGCCAAATAATACTTTAAAAAAAATATTAATGGGGTCCACTTACAGAACAAGGTTAAAGTGCACTAGGGCACCTTTGCACAGATCCACATACTTCCCACGGATCCCCGCTTGGCCTTTCGGAACTTAAATGGCAATACTACCCCCGGGGCCAAAGAAAAGGGATCGAGGGAGAATCCGTGTTATTTTGTAAATATGAGCAGAGCACAAGGGTATAACAGTAGTTACATCGAGATCTCAGTGGGCTGTTCTGTGGGTGCTTCCGCCTTTTTAGAAAATAATTTCGGATTAATAAGATCTAAATTTGTATGGAAAGTTTTCACAAGTATTAGGTGTCGAAAATTTTTTTAGAAGTAAATTTGTTCCAAAATTTTAAAATTATAATAATATTATTTTTTATTATTAAAAAATTTATATTGACTGTTAATATTTTTAATAATAAAAAACAATATTATTATAATTTTAAATTTTTAGGGTAAATTAATTTTCAAAATACTTTTGGACACCCAATTCTTTTGAGTGAAAACTTTCGAAATAAATTTACTACTTTAATCCAATAATATGGTAGTATTTTTTTTAAAGTAATGATTCCTAAAAACAATTAAAAAAAAAAAAATCAAAGTTCAATGATAAATAATATTAAACAATTAGTTATAATAATCTTCCGGTAAAAAAAAATAGTTATAATAATCAACTAATTTTTAATTAAATCTTCAATTGTAGAATATCAATAATATTACCTTTAGTCTTTAACGTAAGAGTTAGTAGATTAATTTGAGTAGATTAAAAAACTAGTTACGTTAGTTATTTATAAAAAAATAAGTGTTGTTATTCTTAAAATATCATTGCTAATCAAATATATTTGTTAGAACTATTATTATTATAACGATTATCTTGAAAAAATAGATAAATATGAAAAATAAAGTGAACTAAGATATTATATTTAAGATCAAAACAAAAGTCAAACAAATTCTTATACGTAGTACTACCTCCGGTCCTTAATATAAGATATTGTTTGACTTTTATTTTGATCCTAAATATAAGATTCCAATCCACTTTGTCTCTCATATTTACGTATTTTTTTCCAAGATAGTCCTCCTAACAATGGTAATTATAGCCAATACACTTAATTAGCAAGGATATTTTAGAAAAGACAACATATATTTATTACAAATAACTAACTTAACTTTTTTTTTAATCTTTTTAAATTAGTTAACCAACTCTTATAATTAGGACCAAAGATAATATTAAGGAGCGAAGATATTACTTTCTTTGGTCCAAAAAGTGGTTTAAAATAATCTCTGATTCAGCAAAAAAAAAAACCTACATGACTTTGGATTCAAGGGGTGTTTGAAAGCACCCAAAATACTTATCAGAAACACTTTTCGTAAAACGAGATAAACTCTTCTATATATTTATCTCGTATATTGTAAAAGCGTTTTTAAAATCATGGTTGATTTCTATCTAAATACCCTCTCAGTACAAAAACTTGGGTCATAGCTTTTTTTTAAAGAATTTGGTAAAGACATCACTATTAACAACTCATGAGTCTGTGATCAACACAAGCGAGTAGTCGTATTATCTTTATCCAGGGTGCCTGGTTTGCGGCTTTTTGAGCTCATCTTCGCTCTACGCAGAAATCACTTAATTCCCAACTTTGCCCTTGGCAGTTTTGACTTCTCTCGGCTCCATCCTCTGAATGACAAAAATAGACCTCCGAGAAAACAATTGATTGGAGTGCTCTCTCTCTGAAGTCCCGTTGCACCCGCGGCTGGCCACTCCGCTACAGTTGCCGAAGCTCTGGCGACGATTTGGCTCGTCCATGGCGGTTTCTGCCCGAGGCAGTCCCTGGGACGATGTCGTAGAGATGACCAAGGCGGCTCAGGGGAAGGGTTGTGACCCTCTAAGTTGGGCTATACAAATACATTCACATTTGCACTCAGCTGGAGAGTCCCTGCCTTCGTTGGAGCTCGCCAACGTTCTAGTATCGCACATTTGCTGGGAGAACAATGTTCCCATTATGTGGAAGTTTCTGGAGAAGGCCTTCATGCTGAAGATCGTGCCCCCTATGCTTGTTCTTGCTCTGCTCTCTGTAAGGTGTGTGTGATTCAATTTTGATTTACCAAATTTACTTATTTTTTTCTGATTCATTTCTTATTGGAGTTTGTTCTGTTCCCTTTTGTATTCACTACTTTACCATCTGATCAGATTGAATTGGCGTCTGCATTTATGAATTCCCTAATGCGTTGCTCTTTTTGGCATGATGAGCCACCTTGATTCTTCTATTTTTTTCCCCCAGGGTTATTCCTTGTAGAAATTCCCAACCTGCAGCATATAGGCTATATTTGGAGCTCCTCAGAAGGCATGCTTTTGAGCTTAAATCTCAGATAAATGGGGCAAATTATCCAAAGTAAGATTCGATTTTATCTACCGGAAATTTAATGGATTTCCCCGCTTCATATCTTTATGTCTTTGAAATCTATATCCACACACACAGAGTATAAAAGTCAAATAAACCTCATTATTCTTAAGTCACGAATCGTGTGACTTATTTCTTGAAGTGCAATGCATGGGACTCAGACTTGTTATACATTAAGCCTTTGGAACTGCAATCATGTTGCTCTCTGACTTTCTATTCAATATGCTCTGCACTATCAAAGCTTGATTGCTCAAAGTTGTTCTGTGCTTGTGAATTCTGTATCACATTAAATCCTGTTTTAATTATCACTGAAGTGATTAGCAATCTGTTGCGTCAGTTTGTGTCACCAGCTAACCACTTTGCGGTTAAATTGAAGGCTTAGTCATCCAAAACTTTTATTTTCATCCTTCATGGTTCTTGTTGGTTTGGCTTAATATAAGCTTGAGCGTATATCAAATAGCTGAATGACAATGAAATTGAACAGATTATATCTATGAGTAAATAAAAGGAGTTGAAGAGATCCATTGGGCAGATAAAAGGCGTTGAAGAGATCCATTGGGCAGTTACCTTTGTCGGGAAAGAGAACTCCTTTCTCTATGATGAAGCTGGAAGCAACAGTTCCTGTCATTTTGTTTAACCACAAAATATAGTTGCTCCATTTTATGTCAAGATTGCGTGATAAGGTTTCGATTGTTTGAGAATATAATGCGGATGCTAGTTAAAGTATGACTGAATTTCATCTTAAAATTGACATCATTCTTGATGCACTAGTTGCTTAAACTGGTGATATTGATACGTGATTTTGTTCAGTGAGGTGGTATCTTTTGTTGTCTAATTCTTTCTCCTCTGCTTTGGACAGGGTCATGAAGACAATAGATCATGTCCTTCATCTTTCCGAGATATTTGGCCTTACACAAAGTGAGCCTGGCATTGTAGTGGCTGCATTTATTTTTTCAGTTGTCTGGCAGTTGCTTGATGCTTCAATGGATGATGAAGGGCTGCTGGAACTTACTCCTGAAAAGAAATCCAGATGGGCAAATCTATATCAAGAAATGGAACTGGATTGGCATGATGGTTACGATGATAAAAAGACTGACCGTCAAGAGAAATTGCAGAATTTAAATACTCTTATGGCTATTGATATAATCGGACAATTTCTGCAGGATAAAAAATCTTCTAGGATTCTTTACTTGGTTCGCCAAAACATGTATGTGCTTGTACTCTCACACTGCGTTTCTTCTGAAATATTATTGTCTAAATGCACTGTTAGTTATGAATTCAATCATATCTGATTTATTCATGGTGACGTATCCTACTTTTTTGGTATGCCATAAAATTTCTGATTTTCCATCCACTTCTTTTAGTGATCTTTTTAGGGTAAATTGCTTTTTCTCCCTTGAAATTTGGCTTGATTATATGCCTCTCCCCTCTATTACTTGCCTTTCTTGAAACCAAAAAATATCCTACATCTAAACACATTCTGTAATAAAATACCCTCAAGGTTTTTAAGAAAATCATTTCTTAAAATTAATTAAAACTTAAATTTAAAATCAATTTAATGAAAATGATTTGTTATGAAAAACAAAGGTATATTTATGAAATAATTTTCATATTGAAATCTAACCAGTTAATAGAGAGTAATTGGTGATGTTTAATTTGAACAATAATATACGTGCAAAATGTTTGTATTTAATCAACACAGACATTGTTATAAATAAATGGCATCAAGAAAAGAACAGAATTTATTATTTTAAACACAAAAAAGAATTTGCACTGGAAATGATTTTTAAGAAAACAATACGGTCCATGACAGTATATAGCCAAAACGGTTTTAGTTGTAGGGTCCCCCCCCCCTCCTTCCAAAAGACACCAGTTTGAATTTTCATAATAGAGCAGAAAGCAATGAAATTAAGCCATGTTGTCAGGGGGAGAGTAATTTACGCTAATTGCTTCAATAGATGATCATTTGATATTAATTCTATGTTGCATTTCTTGAACTAATGATCTCTATCTTCACACCTTTCTTTCACCTTATCAGGCCTATACACTGGCGAAGTTTTGTCCAGCAACTGCAACTTCTGGGAGCTAATTCCTTGGCATTGAGGAAATCGAGAACCATAAGTCCTGATTTAATTCTTCAATTCACCTCTGATACTGACGTAGTCTTGTCTGAAGAACGAAAAATGAGCTCACAGCAAAAGTTCCGAGCATTTTTGGCTTTTGAGTATCTTTCCTCTTCTGCATCGCTCTGCCATGGTGCTAGTCATTCTGCTCTCTGGATTCCTCTTGATCTGGTACTGGAAGATACCATGGATGGCTATCAAGTCAGTACAACGAGTGCTATTGAAATAATTAGTGGTGAGACTTAAATTATCTCTTAAAATCTGATGCAAATGGTTGATATTATCTCTTTAACAACAGATTCATGTTTTCCCCCAGGCCTGATAAAGACCCTTAGAGCAATAAATCGCACCACTTGGCATGATACTTTTTTGGGTCTCTGGTTAGCAGCTCTTCGTCTTGTTCAGAGGGTCAGAGCTCTACCTTTACTAATTACTTCATCTTTCTGTGAAGTTTTGGGTTGCACTTTTCTTATGCGTCATATACTTCTAAAATTCATTTTATGTTTGAAGTCTCTTAGTTCATAGCATCAGATTGACTCTAATTATAATTTTTCCAGCCAAATCCATAGTCGTTCATGTGTCTTTGTCAAAGATGCTTCTGGGGTGGGATTGAATAGTCTGATCTTTTTTCCTGGTTGATATATGGATTTGCTTATTACTCCCAGAGTCCCAGTTGGTTACTGGTACAACTAATTTGACAAGGTCATTGAATCGATCTAATAAGGAAAAAGGAGATAACAGTACTTTTTTATGTGCTTCTTGGTTAGCATGGCATCACATGTACATTTTTTTTTATTAAACTTTCTATGTACTTATAGGAAAGAGATCCTATTGAGGGCCCTATGCCTCGTATTGATACCCGTGTATGCATGCTCTTATGTATCATTCCTCTTGTCATCGCTGATTTTATTGAAGAAGAGGAAACACCAATTCATGAATCAGACAGTGGTCCAACAAACCACTGGAAAGAGAAGAAGGTTCCAGGAAAGTGTCGCAGTGAATTAGAATCAAGTGTACAGGTATTGGGCGATTATCAGAGCTTGCTTGTCCCACCTCAATCTATTGTTGCTGCTGCAAATCAGGCTGCAGCCAAAGCGATGCTGTTTGTTTCTGGTATCACAATAGGGAGTGCATACTTCGAGTCCCTTAGCATGCAGGAGATGCCAATTGACTGTTGTAAGTAACATATGCTTTCAGTGTAAACCGGAAGATGTATATATATTTCCAACAATGATAGCAATATCTATTAATTTTAACTTTGTTCTCAAGGCATTTTTCTGCCATTTATGGCTTTCTGTGAATTCAAATGCACACATACATCTTCACATGTTGAGGTGAATTCCTTCAATAAAATTTGGTGCTGCACTTTGCTTGCGTTTCTGATTTTGTTTGAATTCCATGAGGTTCAATTAGGTTCCCTGTCAAGGTTTTTGAAAGGTGGTCATCCTGTGCAAAATTTGAACATGTGGAAACTTAAATGCCGTGAAGACAAATTACAAATATTGTCCTTTGATGACCATAACATAGACACTTCACACTAGTGAGAATATGCATCTGTGGCCGAACATGGTGTTGTATGTAAAAGGAGAGAAGGGGCTGTATTGTGTTGTAGGACCTGGAGCCTTTTATATATTTGTGTGAATTCCCTAACTCCTCCTAGAATCGTTGATTCTACATATGATACTCGGTTATTTACTTTAAAAGGAATATCATGTGCAATTTTTTAATTGGGATGGTTATTTGGAATGTTTTATTGTTAAAAGTTTAAATGACTTTGGGTCTTATTTTTCAGCTGGAAACATGCGGCATCTGATAGTCGAGGCTTGTATTGCCCGAAATCTGCTCGACACATCTGCATATTTGTGGCCAGGTTATGTGAGTGGACGTATCAATCGATTACCTCAGTGTCTGCCAACTCAAGCACCTGGCTGGTCATCATTTATGAAGGGGGCAGCGCTTACTCCACCCATGGTAAATGCTCTGGTTTCAAGTCCTGCCTCAAGGTAAGATCTCTCTTCATTTAGTTAACTGGTTGGTATTATGGTTTTGGTGTTGCATCCTTGTGAAGTTCTTTTGATGTCAACCTCAGAGCACTACTGTTAGGTATTTGCTCCTCTGTGTGAAAGCCTCTAGTTGAAAACTTACTGTCTTCATAACACTGCCTATTCTGGAAGGTTGTATGCTTTGTAATAATATAACATGACTATTCCTAGTCACCGAGATCCAAGATTATACTCTTGCACTTTACAGCTGACGTATAAGATTTATGGTGGCTGTAATTGGTAGTTTTTAACTTTTAAAATTTAAAGGCCTGGTCTTCAAGTTGTTCTTTTTCTTTCCAGAAGTTAGGTATATCATATGCTCTTTTTTGTAAATTCACCCAAAGGTAAAGCTACTGAATTTACACTCCTCAATTTGATGGAAGTTTAGCAGAACTGGAGAAAATTTTTGAGATTACTACCAAAGGATCAGAGGATGAGAAGATATCTGCTGCCACCATTCTTTGTGGGGCATCCCTACTTAAGGGATGGAATATACAGGTAATGGTATTGGAAAATGTAGCGTATAGGAACTCTAATCTCTAGTTACTTGTTCAGTAGCATGAAGCATTCTCTGTAAACTCTTTTATGCAGGAACACACTGTTCATTTCATTATTAGGTTGTTATCTCCACCAATTCCTGCAGAGAGCACTGAAGGCAACAATCATTTGATTAATTATGCTCCAATGCTTAATGTACTCACTGTTGGAATTGCTTCAGTTGATTGTGTTCAAACATTTTCGCTCCATGGCCTGGTAAGTTTTATTCCAAATCCATAATAGAAAGTATTGTTATAGTATTATAATTCTTTTCAAAAATTCTTTTCAAAAAATCAAGGTGTGGGTCTAAAATTATTCTTTCCAGAGTTTGGATTTTTCACAATTGTAAGTGCTGCTTGTTAAATAGAAATTGCTTTTGCTGCCTTTAGGTAGACTGTAGGTGTAGGGTAAGTGTATGGAGCTGGTTTGGCCATGTCCTGCTTTCTGGACTAGGGGTTTGTTTGCATGATAAACGTAGATTGAAGGAGAAAACAGTAATGGGAGGACCCAACAAATACATTCAATACTGAATATAATTTCGAATCTCTCAGGCTAAATGTGATTTGTAAGGCTTTACTATTCCCTGTAGCATTGACAGTGCATAGTCAACAGGTAAATTTGAATGGAAAAAAGTTAACTTGGTAAATTAGGTCTAAGAAAACTATAAAAAGCTATATCATTCTGATCATATTCTAAAATTTTTTCTCATCTTTCTGCTCTTTTCTTTTTTCTTCTGGGAAGAAGCAGGACTTGGGTAGTGAGGGTTTATCTTATTTTGATTAAATGCAATTTGGAAATATTCCATCAGGTTCCACAGCTTGCTTGTTCGTTGATGCCTATCTGTGAAGTTTTTGGATCATGTGTGCCCAATGTCTCGTGGACACTATCATCAGGGGAAGAAATATCTGCCCATGCAGTGTTTTCCAATGCTTTCATTCTGCTTTTGAGGCTCTGGAAATTTAACCGCCCCCCTCTTGAACAGGGGATCGGAGATGTACCCACTGTTGGTTCTCAACTGACTCCTGAATACCTCTTATTAGTGCGAAACTCCCACTTAGTGTCAGCTGGTAACACTCACAAAGATCGAAACCGGAGGAGACTCTCAACAATTGCTACTTTATCATCCCCAAATTCTGTATTCGTTGACTCCTTCCCAAAATTAAAAGTCTGGTACCGGCAGCATCTAGCGTGTATAGCTTCAACACTCTCTGGTCTTGTTCACGGAACACCTTTTCATCAAATTGTTGAGGGGATTCTGAATATGATGTTTAGAAAGATCAATAAAGGAAGCCAAACTTCTGTTACATCTGGAAGCAGTAGCTCTTCTGGACCTGGAAATGAGGACCCCTCAACAAGGCCAAAATTGCCTGCTTGGGATATTCTGGAAGCCGTTCCCTTCGTAGTTGATGCTGCTCTCACAGCCTGTGCTCATGGAAGATTATCTCCTCGTGAGTTGGCAACAGGTAGGTATGTTAGAAGCCTATTGTAAGATCAGGTAAATTGTAAATCCAGGCAAACATACCAAACAACTAAAATTCTGTTTTCTAAGGTGTTGGCAAACCGTGAGAATTTATCCTATTCATTAGCTTAACCTTTGATAATTATCCTCAATCTATTTGACCTCTGCATTTAGGGCAGGAATTAAATTCCATATTCATGTCTGTTTACAGACATGCTTGACATTATAATGCCTGAATGCTTCTCTCTATATCAGGGCTTAAAGATTTAGCTGATTTTCTTCCTGCATCTTTGGCAACCATAGTGAGTTACTTCTCTGCTGAAGTAACTCGGGGTGTTTGGAAGCCTGCATTTATGAACGGAACAGATTGGCCAAGTCCTGCTGCAAATCTATTGAATGTAGAGGAACAGATCAAGAAAATTTTGGCTGCAACTGGTGTTGATGTACCAAGCCTTGCTCCAGGTAAATTTTCTGCTTGTTATGATTTGTGTTTGGTTGCTTTTATAAAAATCTGAATAGAACGCAAGTTCATCTTGTGTGTCTATCTTGCAACTTGTGTCAATTAAGTTCATCTTCTACACGGCTTTAATTAAGTATCCAATTGATGTTTTGCATGCCGTCTTACACCTCATTTTTCTGTTCCATCATTATTATTTAATAATTACGTTAGTGTTATGAACAAGTGGTGGTCATTTCCACAGGGGGAAGCTCTCCTTCCACACTTCCGCTACCATTGGCTGCCTTTGTAAGCCTTACTATAACCTACAAAATTGACAAAGCATCAGAGCGTTTTCTTAATTTGGCTGGCCCAGCATTGGAGTCCCTTGCCGCAGGTTGTCCGTGGCCTTGCATGCCAATTGTAGCTTCCCTGTGGACCCAAAAAGCAAAGCGTTGGAGTGACTTTCTTGTTTTCTCAGCATCTCGAACTGTCTTCCTCCACAACAGTGATACAGTAGTACAACTTCTTAAAAGCTGCTTCACAGCAACCCTTGGCATGAATAGCTCTCCTCTCTCATGCAATGGTGGTGTTGGAGCCCTCCTCGGCCATGGATTTAAATCCCATTTAAGTGGAGGGATCAGCCCTGTTGCTCCTGGAATTCTATATCTACGTGTTTATCGGTCATTGAGAGATGTTGTCTTCTTGACAGAAGAGATTGTTTCCATCTTGATGCACTCTGTGAGAGAGATTGTATCTGGTGGGTTCGCAAAGGAGCGGTTGGAAAAGTTAAAAGCAGCCAAAGATGGCATTCGATATGGGCAGGTTTCTCTCGCTGCATCAATGACTCGTGTGAAACTTGCAGCCGCACTTGGGGCCTCTTTAGTATGGTTATCTGGGGGTTTGATGCTGGTTCAATTATTAATAAAAGAAACATTGCCTTCATGGTTCATAGCTGTTCACAGATCTGACCAGGAAGAAAAGTCAGATGGAATGGTTGCAATGCTTGGCGGATATGCACTCGCTTATTTTGCAGTTCTTTGCGGGGCTTTTGCTTGGGGAGTTGACTCTTCATCATCGGCATCAAAGAGACGTCCGAATGTCCTGGGCATCCACATGGAGTTTCTTGCTAGTGCTCTTGACGGTAAGATATCACTTGGCTGTGACTCAGCAACTTGGCGGGCTTACGTATCAGGGTTTGTGAGCCTTATGGTAGGCTGCACACCAAATTGGGTTCTGGAAGTAGATGTGGATGTTTTGAAGAGATTGAGCAATGGGTTGAGGCAATTGAACGAGGAGAAGCTTGCCCTTGCTTTATTGGGTGCTGGGGGCTTGGGAACGATGGGCGCTGCAGCTGAGGTCATAATTGACGGTGAAATGTGACCCTTTTTTCCTCCTTGATAACCTTCTAGGGTTCATTGTCTTTGTATTTTGTACATCCGTTTCTTGCTTCTAGGCTGTGCAGCTATCAGTTCCCTTTCTTTGTGAATAGTTCTCTTGGAAAAATATCACCCATGAGAATGCAAAATTTTGTAGATGTTCATCTTAAGGTGTCGAGTTTATTGCATGTTAATGTTATTAAATGGGAAGCAGCTTGTCTCTAACCCTCCTCCATCCCCGTTAGTACCATTGATTAAATTTTAATTGGCAATATTTAACATTTTATAAAAAAATTAATTTTACTTAAAAATATATAAATAAATTTGAATTGCTAAAAGGAAAAATATATTTTACAATAATAATTTTCAGCTGTGTACTGTCGTCAACTGTTTAGATTAAATTTTAGTAATTCAAATTTATTTATGAATTTAGTAAGCAAAATTATAATAATTTTTTTATAAAATGTTAGATTTAAACTATTAAAATTTAATCTAATAATAATGAAGAGGTAGAAGAGGGAAAGGGTAGAGGGAAAAAGGTGCTTCGATTAATTGATAACAAATCTCCCCGCCAATTTTTTTTTCAATCTGTGGCATGGTGAGTTAGGTACATATATCATCCTATCATATTCATAAATGGCACACAGGGTGATTTCAGAATTTTTTTTTTAAAACTAAAAAAGGCAAGAACAAAGCTTGAAAAAAGTCTACATCAAAAGAAATCTAAACAGAATAAACTAGATAATAACTTGTCCACCGTCCTGAAGTAGAAATTGACTACAGTAATCAGGAGGATCCTAAAGAATGACCCAGTTACTGCTCAAGAGATGAGCACGACGAGCTGACGCATCCGCACAGAGGGGTCACTTCAGATTTGAAGTGTTTTATCTCTTCGTCGGATATGCTCGGAGACTTCCAAATCTCATTAATGGAAAAACTGTTGATTTGCACGCTAACTCGGAAAGCAATCCAAGTTTAGCCATTACACACGACCCATTAGCTTCATCAACGTCTGTCAATATATAATATACTAATGATTGAAGGACTGCCATAAACAGTCCGAGGGAGTCATTCTACTCCCAGAAAGGATTCCTGGCCAGTGGCCACCCCAAATTTTTGTCATTTGTCTTTTTTTAAATTTAAGGAATAGAACTAGCAGTTTCCCCTGTCAATCCATCAATTCAACTATTTTATAGGGACAAGATAACGCATCAACAGAAAATCCATAATGAATATGAGTAAATCTGATTCCACTTTTATATATATAAATGATTGGGAAGAATTTTGAAAAAGAAATCGAAAAATCACGTGTTGTGAGAAATTTGTCCCAGGTTCAAGAGAAAGTGTGTGATAAAAGAGGATCTCTCTTTACCTTACAAAACCACTACACCCAGGCATTCTATTCGTTTTCTGGGTCTGCATGACTTTCCTTACCATCGATACATCCTCCCACCGTCCTGCGTCTGCATATATGTTCGATAACAGAACTTTACTTCCGCCATGAGATGGCTCCAACGCCGCCAAACTTCTCGCGGCCATCTCTCCTATTTCCACATTTCCATGAGTTCTACATGCTGCTAACAGAGTTCCCCATATCACAATATCAGCCTTCATTGGCATGCTCCTCACCAATTCCTCAGCTTCTTCTAACTGTCCTGCTCTACCTAGGAGATCGATCATACAACCATAATGCTTTATATTTGGCTCCAAACCATACACACTTTTCATGCTCTGAAAAATTCTCCGCCCCGACTCCACCAACCCAGCATGACAACAAGCGCTGAGGACTCCTATAAATGTAATTGAATTGGGTCTGACGTGATATCTCTGCAGGTCAGAGAAAATCTCTAGGCATATATTTGCATGTCCATGTGTGGCTAACCCACAGAAGATTGCATTCCATGGTGACACGGTGGACGTTTTATCTTGAATCTGATTAAACAATTGTAACGCAGTGTTGATGCTCCCACATTTTGAATACATATAAATCAGAGCCGCCCATAGATTGTCATTCAAAAGAATGGAGTTATTGTATATATATTCATGGAACCATCTCCCTTCCTTCAACACGCCTAGAGTGGCTATTGCAGAGAGTACGCTTACCATTGTGATTTCATTTGGTTTGATCCCGCTAGATACCATTGCATGGAAGAGTTCTAGAGCCACATTAGGTTGATCAGTCTGTGAGTAGCCGGAAATCATGGTACTCCATGAATATACATCTCTTTCAGGCATCTCGTCAAAAATTCTCCTTGCTTGATCTATCATTCCATGTTTAACAAATCCTGCAATGAGGGCATTCCATGATTCAAGGTGATCCTTTACACCGACCTCAAATTGCAAATAGGCAAGATTCATCATTCCACAAGCTGCATAAAAACAGATAATCGTAGTCTGAATAAAATCGCAAGAAACGAAACCTATCTTAACTATCGTTGAATGCAACTGTTGACCTTCACCAATTGCCATCAACCGACCACACGCTGAAACCAAATCTACAAGCATGACTTCATTAGGCTGGAGCCCAGTACGTAACATTGCACAGTACGTCATAAAAGCTTCACATAAAGATTCTTTTCGCACATAACCATCAATCATTGTCCCCCAAGAAATGACATCTTTACTAGGAAATTTCTCAAACAATTCCTTGGCCGCATCAACAAGGCCTGCCTTTGAATATCCCTTCAACATCACATTCCAAGAAACTAAATTCCGTTCAGGCATCCTATCAAAGAGTCTTCTTGCTTCCTCTAGACCTGAACAAAGACAATATGCATGCATCAAATTCGTTGAAACACGAACCAATTCCTCGATGTTTAATTTAGTAACCAAGGCATGAAGCATGCGGCAGCTCCAAATTTCGCTACGGTGTGAAAAAGCAGAGATCACATTCACCATTGTTAACTCATTTGGGATGACATCATTGGACCTCATGTCCAAAAAGACTTCAATGGCTTCCTTCCAACAACCATGTTGAACAAGACCCATTATCATGGCGGTGTAAGAAACACAACCTTTACCGGGCATTTTGCCAAACAGAAGGCGAGCATCGTCTAATCGACCAGCTTTCATATACCCAGCAACCATAATGTTACAGGACACAGGATCCAACTCAAAACAAACTTCAAACAACAATCGGGCATCATCAACGAAACCACATTTTGCATACATATTGATCAAACTGTTCCGAATCAATATGTGAGGCTGGAGCCCGGATTTTAAGACCAAACAATGCACTTGTCGGCCCTGAAAGGAGGCTAAGGAAGAGGAACATGACTTCAGCGCCGAAACCAATGCAAACGAGCACCCAGCATATTTCTGCTTCTTTCTGGCATCGAAGAAAATTCGAACGCAGTCTTTGAGGTTCTGAGTTACTGCAGGAACTTTGGGGGCAGTCTTAGAAAGCCACCGTGGATTGGGTAGGAGAACTGGAAGAGGAAATGATATGAATCGAGGGAAAATTTTGGGTAAGGAAGAAATGAACATTGAACATGGGACGCGACCATTAAAAGCTACTGCAGTTCCGAGTGTGAAAAAGGAACATGCGTTGTCGATTGTTGAAGCCCTCAAAAGAACTCCAGTTTTTTTTTTTTACCATGACGAGAAACTCCGGTTGTTTTTTTTGGGCCAAAGGACAAGAAACTCCAGTTGGAAGGACAAATGGGATTCCAAATTCAAATAAAAAGGTTTTTATTTTATTTTTTTCCGGTATTTTTTTGATAAAAAGATCGGTTCTAGTATTATTATATATTCAAAATGAGAAAAGTATATTTTTAGAGTCATGCAGTCATATAATAACACAGGCGAGGAAAAATATAAAAATAATGAAATATCACACAACTATCAGTCTGTTTGGATTTGCGTTTTCAACGCGCCTTGAAATGAAACAAACGTGTGTTTATCAAAAAAGAAAAAAGAAACAAACGTGCCTCGAAATGAAAAAATATAAAATGCTCTTTTTGGTATAATACACAACACAGCTAGTACTGATCTATTCAAAAGATATTATTGTTATGATTTAATTTATAACTTAATTTCCGTCATTTTTTTAATTACTATATGTTGGGACAATGGGAACAGATGTTATCAATTTTACCCAATCCCATTCAAGGCAGACCGAAATTTAATTTTGAAGCATTTATCTGCCTTTAAGGTAATTTACTTTAACTTTCCTTCAACACATGGTATTTTAAAATGATCTCAATATCTCCAATGGTTTAATAAGATTCAATGATTCCTGGTCAAAAAAATAAGAGTGAATGATGAATGGTCTTAGTGGCATTATGTTTAGATAAAATCTCAAACTCAAATTTGACATTAACATGTGTACATTTAATTGTGCAAAATAAAAAAAAGTGTTTTAATAAAGCAAAAATCATAAAAAAAATTTAAAAATTTAAAAATTACATACAAAAACCTGTTCACAAAAATTGTTGTCATTTATTTATTAATTATTGTCAAAACCTATACTAATATTGTAATGAATCCCGACTTGTAATTTTTCTATTTTTAAAGTCTTTTTTTGTGTTTTTTTTTTCAAAAATCTTTTCTCATGAATCTTTCAAACTAATATTTCCGCCACACAAACTCAAAATGAAAAAAATTTGTTATCTTATTTATAAGGCACATTATTAAACTTTTCTTCAATGTATAATTTTATTTTTTATATGGATTATTGAATAAAATTTGTTCTCACTGTATTAAACAGAAATAAAATTAAAAAGTTGTCAAGTTTTAATATAAAATTTAAAGCTTTTCTTAATTTTCATGAAACAAGTTGAAAATAATTTACAAATGAGATCAGGGACGAATATTTTGTTAATATCCTTTTCACTAATTATCTCGCAAATTAACATCAAATTCAATTTCCCAGATATTTGATTCTACGAGGGGGGAAAAAATGAAATCGGTGCTTGATTAATGGTCCTTTCACTATTGTCAAATTCCAACGCGAAAAGTGAAATAATTTATGGCTCAACACTTTTGTCAACATTTCATCAAACATAAATCTGGTGTTTCATATACTTATTGTAGTTTAATTTCCCATAATCACTCTAAAGCTGACAAGACAAATCTCCAAGATGTGCAGACTCTGACTAGGGAAAAGAATGGCTACAACCAGATTATAATTTTTCTATTTCTTTATGAAAAAATGATTCTGACCAAAAGTCTGTATTACAGTAAAAGGAACCATGAAAATATTGATCATATAAAGAAGGCGCTGGCGGAAGAAACACCGGGAGCTGTCAGGGATGATCTCCCCCTCCATTAAGAATTCTATTGGGTAGGGACCTGCCCAAATCATCAAGATCATATTATTCAAGCATCACAGAGAGAAATTCACACCAGCCATTCAGTAAAAATGAAAAATCATTAGACTTTGTATTGCAGAGCATAACTGCATCAATTTTGGACAAGTGGGTTGCCAAATCCAATAACTTCTAAAGCAGGTCATGATGAAGATTAGCTAACTACTAAAGACTAATTTCTCTTATACGCATATGATGATGGATGCCCAAATAGAGTAAATGGGATGTCAGAATGATGGAAAATAGAACAAATGGCCATTCCGGAGAGTGCTTGCCAACTCAGTTCACAGCCACATGGATTGCCATGAATTTGGAAATGCAGATAGGGAGCAACCATAGGCAGGCAAACTACATGGGCAGAAGAGGTCAAAATCATGATGCAAGAGGAAAGTCATAAAAAAATAACTGTCAAACGAGAGAAGCTAAGTTGAAGGTTTATCCTTTTGTTTAACACAAGTTAAACATACTACCATACCAATTAAGTTACAGTTATGTGACGTCAACAACAGTCCACTACTTTGCTGTTGCCAAGTTCTTATTGCCCTTTTCTTATTCTTTCCAGGACAAGGACACTCAACACGGTGAGGTTAGCTAAGGTGGTAAGGGGTGGATGGGATGTGTGTGGAGGTCGAGTTCCAGACACCTTTCCAACATCCCAACCCCCGGGGGCACCCAAAAAAAAAAGAAGAAGAAGAAGAAGAAAGAAGACGGCAAAAAAAAAAAAGAAAAAAGAACTGCTTAGATTTTAACCAACAAGATTTCAAACTTTAAAGCAAGAGGAGACCCGGAAAGATCCGAAGTCATATCTCACAAATAGCTCAGGTTTCCCAGAGGGAGGCCTTCTGAGCAGTCCACCAAAGTTATGCAGAAAATATGTAAGGCGGTCCCAATCTAGACAAGTTCACCCAAGCAGCTATTAACATCACGTTGACACTTTGTTCAAACGAAACAGTTTCTAAGTTCAAAAACAAAATCTATCTGTTCGTAACCAAAGTAGACTTAGGGAGAGGTCAAAAAAACACCATCAAGCAAGGATAATTATGAGCTGGGCTTTGGAAAATTTGATGCTTGTGATACCATTGACCCAACTTCATTCAATGAGATTGATAATAAGCAATTAAATGGTGAAGAAGATTATCTTACATCTAAAGGTAACATTTGGCTTGGGATGATATAGCTTTAGCTTCTTAAGCTGAGGAGCCATCTCATCATTTATTGTCATTCACATGTAGTATAACTCAAAAGAGGGCAATGGCATCCTTCCAACATGTTTCTGCAGATGCCAGTGAAAATTCAAGAGCTCGTAAAGAAAATGGTATTAAGCCCTTCAGCGCACACTACCCACCAAAAACTGCATTGCTCATCTGGCCAATTGGCGGTGAACAATCAAAACGGCCCTTCTATGTTTGCTTTACATCCAAGAGTTGAAATACAACTCAGCATAAATTATAGGGCAGAGGCATCATCAGCTAAGATAAGGCAACTTGTCGGGTCATCTGCACTGATGGATACCCAGACAGAAGCCTCAGATATCTTTTACCTATGTCTGCATGTAATATTACTTTTTCAATGTACCCACTTATAGATTTCTACATTTGTGTGCATTACATTTAATCAGGGTTTTATATATTAAGTTATTGCCCCATGCTTAAAAAAAAGATCACATCTTTCTCAGGCCGCGAGATCAACACAAACTAAAACGCCTACCAATCTGTCCTCTTAAAACAACAGAGAGCACAATGCTAAGGCAACAGCAAAGAAAAACAGTGGCGATGAGCAGAAACCGTTATATAACCTGAATCGCAGGTGTCAAAACAGATTGTGCATAATCACACTGTCTACAGACTGTGCAGTAATTACGCAACTCAATCACAATTAGAATATAAAACAACCAGATACTGTAAGTTTATACGGAGCTGATTCACACTGCAGTCAGAAACTAGCAAGCATGAGATAATCACGCACGATCCATTCACAACTCGCCAGATTGAGTTAACAAGTCATCAGACTTACTTCTTATGCCGTTTCCCCTTTCTCGGTCCCCATCCCTCGAGCTTGGCAACAGGACACCCGCACTTTGTTCGAAACAACAAGACGGCACGCCCACCAGGGGGAGCCATATTCCTGAGTTCGGAACTCAGACACTCGTAATCGGGATTGTTCTCACTCCCACCCTTCCAAGGCAGTTTATCAATCTCATCAGACCCAGTCTTGAGAGACTCTTCCGTTTGCAACTGCAAATCAAATTCCATTGCTTTCTTGAGTCCTTTGCATCCGGGCTTGCCACACTTACGGGATCGAGCACCACAGCAGAAAAGAACTAATAAAATCGAAATGACAAAGAAGATGATGAACCCTAGAATCTGAGGGGTCGGGAGTTGGTAGAGCTGTGGTGTGAAATGAGAGAGGAGGGAAAGGGAGTTGAAGATATAAGAGAAATAAGAAGAAAGAAGGAAAGCACCGGAGAAGAGGACAAGAATGAGAATGAGGAGGTCAAGAGTGGCGGAAGAAGAGTGCTTGCAGGAAAGGGAATGAGAATTGCAGTTTGAAATGTGGGCATGGTTTGAGGATTTAGGCTTGGAATTGGAAGAAAAGGGCATGGCAGCGTCGGTGTCGGGGGTGGAGATCACGGTCCCGGTGGTGGCAAACAGAAGGGGGTGCATGTTAGAGAATCAAAATGTGATTTTTCTCCCGGGAAAAATAAAATGTGCTGATGCCTTTGTTATTCAACAGAAGTCTGGCATTAGAAGGAACCAAGGGGTGTAGAAAGCTGAGAGATTGAGCAAGGGGTTTTCTTCTTGGGGAGCCACCACTACCATAACCAAATGCTTCACATGCACCACTCACTCTCTTTTGCTGCCAATTTTTTTCTTCTTCTTTTGCCATCCTTTCTTGTTGCCGTTACCTCATATCGATGGTAGCTCAATAAGTAATTACTAGTAGTATTTTTTTTGGTTTAATATAATAGTTAGAAAAATAATTTGTGAATATTAATAAAATTAGTTAATTTTATTATTTGTAATAAATGAGTATTGTTAAACACAATAAAAATGAAAACCATTTAACATGTGTAATCAATAATCATAATGGGAACTATTTTAAAAAATAAATAAATATAATAGACAAAGTGAATTAAAGTTTTATAATTAAGATCAAATTGAATTTTTAATTAGCTCTTAGCGGAGGTAGTTTTTTACTATAATAATTATGACTATAATTAAATACGAATTAATGCAGTGGTAAATGTAATTTGGAATTGGAATGTAGCTATAATTAATGAAACGAGCATAGTTCGGATGAAACACATGCATTAGTTACTAATGTTAAAAACAGGGAACTCAGATGTGTTATCGGGATATATTTGAATTGAATGAAAGGCATCACCTCCTCAAATACCAAACAAAAAAGTTGAAGAATTTACGCGAATATAGGGATATATTTGAATGAAAGGCATCACTATATTAGGAGAAAAGATAGCATTAAATGACGTACCAGTATATTAGTGTTTGGGAAGTGGGTAGTGGCTAGGGAGAGGCAAATGGTATTAGGGTTTTGCCGGGATATCACAGTGATGTGATGATGAGCTGTTAGCAATCAATTTCAACGCTGCGAATAAAATTCACCTGAAACAGCTTTGGCGTCCACGAGTCCCACTCCCACCTCATCCCCGAAACCCGGAAATGTGGATTTGGAGAAATGTACGAAAGGGTAAGGACGACGTGAGAGTGTCGGTGAGAAGAATAGCGGAATCTTGAAGAAAACGCTCTACAAAACTCCAACTTTCAGACGTTTCGCGTCTTACTGCAGAAATGGCGCTGAGAAGTGAACAACAAATATAAATCAATGATCCTCGCATCAAAACAATACAAGTTCATGCCACTACGTTTACTATTTTGAGTTCAATCATGTGTAATTATGTATAAAGGGTAACGCATTTCATTTAAACGTGAACATCAAGTTATGGAATTTTTTTTAGCAGAATTTTCTTTAACTTTTATACAATTTTTCAACGTACAATATTCCATTTTTATTAATTTTATTATCGCCGGTTCCACAACCTTGAATCAATGCATTGATTGATTTAATCATCGCTCTGGTTTTTAAAAACATTGGATAAGACAACATAAAAGAAGGATAATATATATATATTTATCTCTCTTTAAACACACTAATAGAGAAGATTCAAGATTGAACTTGTCATCTTGGGCTTCATCCTTCCAGTCCTAATATCTAGTTTCCCAGCAACAACCAACATTCTATATGCAGACACGGAAGGTCATCATCACTCACTCATTACAATACCACACGCACCTAACATATCCATAGTATCCTAACCTGCTTATTGTAGAGCTCTGAAAGTGATAATTACAGCTACAAGGAGAACCAGACTACATATCTTGATTTACACAGTGCAGACTTTAAGAAAACTGACGGTCAGGAAGGACCACAGGAGCTACAATAGTCCACACATATAATGCAGCAGTGGCCCACTCAGTGCAAATCCGAACCCAAACGGACGTCCACCCAACATCAACCAATCCTGAGCTGTCAGATGAGCTTGTCCATCCAGAAAGAAGCATAGCTGAGTACATGCTGGCCAGGGCAAATATCAGGTGGAAGAACGAATAGGAATAACTGACTGGCTCTGCATCTTTTTCCTGTTTCTTTCCCTTTCCTTCTTCCATTTCTTCTGCTTCAAGTAAGGGCTTCTTCCCACCTGAAGAACGTATAATTGCTAGTCATGAGAGGAAACGGCAGTGACACAAGACAAGCAAGAATGTCCGCTCTCAACCTCGACTAAGGCTAAACTTATACCTAGATATTTAATTGAAGTTTAGCTGTAATACAGGCCATAGGGTTCTTAGTTGAACAGTCATATATTATATTTAGATTTTAGATGCATTTTGCAACATAAATAAATATATAATAGAAATCCCCTGGGATTTCAATCGTATTGCTGTTACCTGATTTAGGTGAAGATGGTGGTGACAAGAATGATGTTGAAGATCCAGCACGCAAAGCAGAATATAGCACTGACAACACTGTAGTAAGCAATCCAAGAACAAGGGTACTAACGGTGACGGCTTTGGAATTGCCAAGACCATTGCATGCGTAGTCGTGAGGTTCACTAGAAAGGCCCGTGTAGCACACATAAGCACAGTAAAGGGAAATCACAGATGCCGGCAACAAGCTTCCATTCACCTGTTAGGAAAAACAAAATAAGTATTCCTGAGGTAACATGGAAGTACTGAATCTTCCTTCTAAGCCTCTCAATTACAGTTCCCATTACGGCATACAAGATTCAGGACAAAAAGGGCATTCTCCAAGTTCAAGCTCATTAATTCTTGTGTCAATTTTTCTTCAACAAAAAAGATGAAATCTCAGAATATGACGTAACAAGATATGACTAAGTAAGAAACTCCAGCTCATGCACAGCCCTGCAAAACTTCATAAACAGAAGAGACTCCAACATTCATATCGATTTTATTCATAGAACCCTCTGAATGCAATTGTTCACAGTTCAAGCAAGATATTTAGCACTGCCAATTGTATACACAAGACAAAAAGGAGATGATAAGACTCGGTGAATTAGATGATCAACAACAGTTAAAGCAGACAATTTGATTTTAGGACTATATTAAGCATACAGAAGTGAATATATTACTGAAACTAGCACCTTTAATTACTCTTTCAGATGTCTCCATCACCTCACAATCCACATTCCAGAGAAGCATGGAATACATTTGAGATTCAATAAATAAAAGCATTGATATGCTTTACCTGAGGATGTAGAGAAATAATTCCAATTGCGAGTGCAATAATCATGGTCATGACAAGGAAGAAGATATTTAGGCCACAGTCATGTCCAGAAGGGTCGAACCAAATAAAAAGAATTCCTGACAAGGTAAAAGCTGCTAGGTAGCATCCAATTGATATAACAAGCAAAGCAACATACCTAAATATGCAAATTTATCAGGATCTCAATTACAAACAGAAACTCATAGTGAAAATCCAAATCATATAAAAATATCCAGCATACCACTTCTGTTCATCTTTCTCGACCCATGCATCATTCCAAGAATGGACAAAGTCAAGTAAAATTACCACTTGAACCAACAAAAACAACCCTGCTCCAAATTTTGATATCCATCCTGCACATCTCATAAATAAGGCAATGTCGATTATCGAATCAGGCTTCAGCTTCCACAGGATGCCAAAAAAGAGAAAAGAGGGGGGGGGGCAAAGAACAATTTTCATTCAGAAACTGGACCTACCTTGCATCATTTCTCTATTTAATTATTAGATCCAAGGGATTTTCTACTCCAAGGTCCACAATTTAAGGGCCGATACAAATGCAAAAATATACAACTGAACCAAGTAACTATAAATTTTACTTTACCATAGCCTTTGACAAGGTTGATTTTTTCTTTCCATGAGGGACCAATGAAGAACAATTGCGGAAACACAATATTCCCTCCAATCATTAGAGAAAATATGGTACCCAAATATCTGTGGCTATGGTTCAATTTTACGCTGTACTGACGGATACACAGGCCTTTTGAAAATGTTGAAATTCCCTCCCTTTTTTTTGGGGGGGGGGGGGGGATGAAGAATCTCAACCTATAGACCAATATGAACCTATCGTTTTCTGTCAAAGATTAAGTAATATGGAAACCACAAAAGCAATGAGTAGGTAGGATTATTTTCAGAATATTAATGAAGAATCCACCATAGCTTTTAACATGCACCTGATATGTTTATGTTGCTCTATTATCTGATATACTACCTTCAGACGAGATTTAGTTCTCTGCTGTATATATAATGTAAAAATATTCAAAACAATAAAAGAGTAAGATGAAGAGCAAAGAACCGACCATAGACTACGAATACGACATCTGGAAGGAAGAACATAAGGACCACAAGCAAAACCCAGATCACTATCTTTGCAATCCATCCACCATGGTGCCATGAATCACGTCTATCATTCCGGTCCTTCACACCAATCATTATTAGGGCAAGAATAGAGAAAAACAAGAAATTTCCCAAGCTCACACGAAGAACTGCTTGAACTTGAAGAAATTCCTCTGACCGGGTACCGGAGGTGTTTATCCCTATTAGAGAGAATTCAGATAATTTAATTAAAAAAAAACAGAATATCATATTATATATTCAGCAGTAGCTACAATAAAATTGTTTGATACAGAAGCATTCCCTTAACTAATCGTGAATCCGGAAAGCCGTTCATGTAGTAGAATTAAGATCATCCAGTGAAGAAATAACAGTTTGCACTGCACCCTCATCAAACTCCACCAATTATGCAGCAATTTAACACCAACAAGCCAAGCATATTATTCTTCCCCAAACCCGAACGGGAAAACATTCTAAAAGTCAAAAGGTAGGGGGGGTGAACTTACATGAAATGTTCCCCAGAAGGGGTTTTGCTACTTCTCTGAGAATCCAAGAAACGATGAGAGAAGCGCCAAAAAGACCACAATAAGCAATTCTAGCCGACCTTTGTGTGATTCCAGATGCCACAGAAGTGCAGAGACCGCATGTTAAACTTGCGCAGCAACTCGCGCAGCAAGATAACAAACACGACATGGCTTAGTATCTCCCTTCCAGAATTGAAGCTTCAGAGAACTATAATCCGTCGAAGGGGTTCGTGGTGGAAGGATTGTTAGACTGGAAAGTTAGCTGCATCATTTCCAATCATAACCCAAAAAGATAAATTTATTTATTTTTTTAGCTTTTTAGTACCACCTTTTTTTAATTATAAGAACTAATTGATTAATTTAAAAAATTAAAAAAAACTAAATTTGTTATTTGTAATAAATGGATATTTTTTTTTCTAAAATATTCTTACTAATCAAGTATATTATCTAAAACTATTATTGTTAGAAAAACTATTTTGGAAAAAAATGCATAAACATGAGAGACAAAATAGATTGAGTCTTATATTTAGAACCGAAATAAAAGTCAAACAATGTCTTATATTAAGGATCAGAGCTAGTTTTATTTAGTTTAACTATTTATTTAGTCTTTAAAATTTAAAAAAAAAGTATTTGGCTTTTTATCAGCAAATTTTAAGGGATAACTATGTTTTGATCTTTTGTCCCCAAAAAAAAAATATACTACTTTTGATTCTAATTATAAGAACTAGTTGATTAATTTAAAGGGATTAAGAAAATAAATTAAGTTAGTTATTTATAATAAATAGGTGTTGTCTTTCCTAAAATATCCTTGCTAATTAAGTTTATTGGCTAAAACTAATATTATTAGAAAGACTATCTTGAGAAAAAAAATACATAAATATGAGAAAATAAAGTGGATTGAAGTCTTATAATTAAGATCAAAATAACAATCAAACGAGATCTTATATTAAAGACCGGAGGTAGTATATATTTACGCTCCATAATCCACTTCCTTTTTCTGCATTAACGGGATTCAGGATTCTTCATCTCTTCTGCATCAATTCCATTTCCTATCAACAATTGTGCCCTGGGACAATCAGACGCTTCAATTATTCATTTTATTTCATGTCATTGAACTTAGTTCCTGTACTGTTCATCACATCATTCTTTATTTCTTTAGTCCATCTTATAACGCCATAGATTCTTTTAAAAGCAACACGATGCCTGTTATTTGAGCCAAAAACCACGAATGCTGCTGGCTTCTCCATTAGGAGGTGGATATTTCAACTTTTTCCCTTCTACATAATTGTATATGTTACTACTTCCAATTTTAAATATAAGACTTAATTAACTAATTTGAGTAAATTAAGAAAAGAAGTTAAATTAGTTATTTGTAATAAATATGTGTTATCTTTCTTAAAATATTCTTACTAATCAAGTGTATTGGCCAGAACCACCATTATTAGAAAAATTGTCTTGGAAAAAAAATATAAATATGAGAGACAGAGTGGATTGGGGTTTTATACTTAGAAATAAAATAAAAATCAAATAAGATCTTATATTAAGAATCGAAGGTAGTATATCAAACATTATTCTTTATTCTTTATTTCTAATTCTTTTTCCTTTTCATTCTCTTGTAAAATCTGTCTGTTGTGCGAACCCTAAACTTGATCTTTATTGGGTCAATTGAGTAAATGAAGGCATTTCTTCCATTGATAAAAGAGCCATTACTTCTTACCAAAGTTAAAAAAAAAAATAAAAAAGCAGCATTACTTTTCCGTGCATCAGTGATTTCAACCAAAGAATCACAATTTCCAGGTCCCACTGCGCGACTATACTTCCGTTACAATTTTTTTTTTTTTGGGACACATACTTCCCTTACAATTAAATTTGCGGAGTTAAGCCTACTTTTATGATAAAATAAACTACTCTTTCCATTTGACAAGGTAGGCATAAAATCTTGGGAGTAATTAAAACTAGGAAGAATTACAGTGATGTTCCAAAACAAAGAGAACAACTAAAAAAACAAGTTCTAAAAGTTGTCATTCTCACTATCTATAAGACTTATCATTGAGGTTATTATTGAAATTTTTTTGTAATTATTTTTTTCTGTGAAACTTGATTGTAATTTCCTCTTGAAACTAATTTCAGTACTCATATGCTCATCATTATGATGAGATATATATATATATATATCATTTAAATACAATTTCAAATTTCAACCATTAATTTTTAACATATGCACAAATCTAAATTCATTTCTCTCTCCTGTATTGCTTAATATTATTTAAAATAGAATAATTAAAAAATGTAAACATTATATTTTAACTTTGTAGCAAGTACAATTTTTTTTTCTAAACATAAGTTCAAATCCCGTGGAAAGAGATGCCACGTTTAGTGTCCGTTTACTATAAATCAGCATGACAAAGCCCAACTAACTTCAAAACGGAGCCTAACCTCATCTTAAACCAAAGAGGTCTACAATTATACCAAATCAATTGTTTCGTTTGGTTTAGCTTTTTGCTCAAAATCGAACCAAACCAAATCTTTGAACAATTATTCCCAAGTAAAATTAATAACGTATTATTACAGGAAGATCAAACAAAAATATTAACATCACATTGCATAGTGCTGATACATAATGCAGATCCCTTTATTCGAGAGGAGGGATCAACCCCTATTCGCATGGGGCTCTCCAGAATTTATCTGAGATCTTGCAGAATTCAGGATATCTTCAGCAGATTTCTTTGGGGTTGGCCCCTGCTTTGTTTGACCTCCCTGGATGAGACAATAATTATTCAAGGTCGAATTTATACGGAGGCAACATAAGTTAAAGAAATAGTTCTCAGACAACATGAGTATGCAGCTCTCTGACTGCAGACTCGTTAAGACAAGTTTGACTTGTGCTTGTAAGATTTGCCGGAACCTAAATCATGACAAAGAAGGGAAGTTTCCTTCTTCAGAGTCACCATATCTTGATTGTTAAGTGCATTTTTTGTGTCAAACTATGAATAGTGTTAAAACTCAGTTTTATTGATGATGGCACACTATGAATAGTGTTAAAACTTGATTTTATTGATGATGGCATGGTGCACTTGTACTGATACACCAAGCAGATAGAAAATTTCTGACCCATCGGTTTAGGATTTGGAAAAGCAGAAGTATACTGTGCAGAAATTTCAGTTTTACTCAAGTTAGCTTCTGCTATTTCAAGAGTTTGCTGAACTTCTTGTGGATTAGTATTACCACCCTTCTCTGCATCATTTACTAAAACAGTGATCTCATGAAAATGCTTCACCTAAAATCCTAAACCCGCCAAAACATCCTCTTTCTCAGCCCAAAAAAGAAAGAAAAATATATAGGATTTAGCTACTACGGAAGAAAAGACAAGCAAGTTGGCATGCTAGAAAAGAAATCTCTTACTGCTGCCTTCTGGCTAGTCAACCTCCGCACTGATGGAGCGCGTGCCACTGAGGAAGCAGCAGCAGCTGCAGCCACACGTATTCTGCAAAATGATAATCGTAGAACATCCAAATTGAGATTTGTAACACTTTGATTTATTTATGAAACTTCATCATTTAAATTTTTCTTTGAATCCGTTACCTCTTGTGGACATCAACATATTCGTCTGTCTCATCTACAATCTCCTCCTGCATTATTGATGAAATATAATAAGTCTTGAAGATAAAAACATGAGCCCCAGCACTGAATGAAAGAAAAGTGTTGAGGACTGTAATTTTACTTGCAGAAGTTCTTCAAATACATCTTCTAGAGTGATGATACCAATCACTTCACCATCTTCAATATCCTCCAGACCACTTGTTGGAGCATCACCACGTTGCAAAGCAGTTTGCTTATTGAAGTTGGCAGGCCTTGAAGGCTTGTCAATATCAACAGCAACACTTCCTGAATTCTCATCCTGCTTCTGTAACAATGGAGTAGTCAACTGCATATTCTCACCATTAATCTTGGACTCTTTATGTTTCTCTTGATCAATTGTTGGTGGAATAATCTTGCCTTTTCCCTTGGCCTTGACAACAGCAGCCATATGACTGCTGCCTTTTTGGAACTCATTTAGTATATCATAAAGAGGCATATCTGATGGAACCCTGTAGAAATATGCCATCACCCAACCTCAATATTTTTCATAATAATTTTTGAAAGTGAATGACAAGAGAATGTATTAATAAAGACAAGAACACCTTGGAATTCTCCGGATAGAAACAGCACTGACAGGGGTCTCCGTTTCTGGACGCACTGTGAGTAGACTCTTGACCTATTTAGAAATGTAAGAAGGTGAGCAAGAGAAATTCCAAAACAAATAAAAAACATACAAAGTCAAAATCCTCCAGAGGCACCCACTAGAAGAAGCCCGATAATATTCTTAGGATTTCCAGAATAGACAGGAACTCGGCTATGACCACGAGCAAGAATTTTTCCCATCGCTTCCCTGATTTGAGAAATAGCACCATTCATTTAAGGAACCAAAGCAAAAGAACATGAGCATACAGGAAAACTGAAGTCAAGCCAGGGAAAAATAGCTTAGACGGCATTTGATCCAGTGAATAATGTTTCATCAGAAGTCAAAATAATACAAAGATTGACTTCGTCTTCTTAAAGAAAGAAGCCATTGTCGAAATAGATTTTGCTTACATTTCTGAACCCACTATAGATTACAAACCACTGTTTATAATAGTATAAACATTCGGGCAGCACGTAATGATTCAGTTTTTTGCTAATTGGTTTATACTGGCCACTGGTCATTAACTCATTATTTATGTGAATCAACCCCAAAAAAAAAAAAGAAGAACTTTCAGAACATGTTCTCTTCAACATCATTTTTCTAATTGTATTGGCCTCTTGAGCGATACCTAATCAGTTCAAGGTATTTTAGTTTGAGGCACTGTTACTTTCAACCGAAAATTTTTCCCAGGAAGTTTTTATTTCAAAGGGAAAAAAGTCTTGCAATAATTGAGCTAGGAAAAATTCCTCACTAATATAATTTTATTTCAAAATTTCAAGATGGTATCAATCAAGAAAACTTACCAGTCCAACTTTGAATTTACATCCAAAGAAAAGGTTGATTCAATAGGAGTCATAGCCTCCTCAGCAGTCTGTTAAAGATGAAATAAAAGATAAAAAGAAAACGGTAGCTTTTAAAGCAGACTGCGAAATGGATGCATAAAACATGATCTGTATGAGGGAATAGCATGTGGCATGACTCTCATGATTAAGCAAATAACAGAAAACTCTGAGAGAATGACAGCATATTATTTTGTGGAACACAAAACACCTGGACCTAAGAGAATCAATTTGACTCTGACATGCCTGATAAAGAGAAAAGGAGGGGTCAAGAAATTACAATAGAACATCATTTACCAAGTTCAGAGAATACCCTTACATGTTTCCTATGTACAATGAAAACTGGAAGTAAAAAAATGTGCGAAATTTCAAGGCTCTGACGTACCGACTGGCATACCATGCACATTGTATTGCATTGAGATGTTACACAAAATAAAGTTTAAAAAAAAAAAAGAAGAAGAGCAGGCAATATAAATTGAAATCCGCACCTTCTCAGTCAAATCAAGAGCTCCACTGATAATTGTAGTCTCATCATGGGTAAGTTCACCCCCCTTCCCAGCCTAAAAAAGTAATTTAATATATATAGATATAGATACATAGTTAAAGTGCTATTTATTAAAAAACCAAGACTTAAACAGAGATAACTGGGTAGCTTCAGCAAACTTGAAATAACTGGCTCTACCATCGAGGTACTAGACTTGATTGACAGAGGTAGCATTCCTTACCTCCTGGCTGTGGATGGAGACAAGAGCTTTTAACTGAGCACGCCTAAATAAAGCCTCATTATGTCCCAATACCCAATCCAGAACCTGGAAAGAATGTCCAAGAGGAACAATTGCATAGCCTTGTTACAAATAAAATTCAATGCTCCATGACAGAAAATAAGAGGAGCTCTACCATGGGGTTGAAAAAAATACTCCTTCCAGCCCTCAATATAAGAGGTAAATAACTAATTTGTGAATATTAAAAAAATTAGTTAAGTTAAATATCCGTAATTAATGTGTGTTGATTTTTCTAAAAGACTCTTTCTAACCATATGTATTGTAGCTATCCCTTAATAAAACTCTCTTACTATGCACAATCAATAGAGATACTTTGGGGAAGAAATTATAAATTTGAAAGACAAAGTGAATTGGAGTCTTATATTTATGACCAAAGTAAACCCTTTATCTAGCTCTTATATTTAAGCCCGGAGATAGTATAACTGTAAGGAGGCTCCTCTATATACAGAGCAAGCATCATTAAGGCAGGAGCAAACTTCAACCAGTAAAATCAATTGCCAATGCCATTTAACATATTTATGACAGCATCATAGCTAAAGCAATTGGTAAGCCGGCCTAACATTAGCATTGGGAAGAATAATCTGTTTCAGGAGAGACAAAATGATAGTGACCTAAATTTTAGCCAAAAATGGCACCTGTAATATTCTCGATTTGTTTAGACGCTAATTAGTTTGATACAAGAGTTATAATAAAACAACCTATAAAAGACCTCAATCTGTGTGTGTGGGAGTGTAATACATCTAGTAACATGTTTGGGTACTTATGCTTCATGCTTTCATGAAGACATCCCACTAAATTCTACCATTTTCACTTTACAATTACAATAATCTGGTTACATACAAAAGAAAGGAAAGAGATACATATTCTTTTTACATGATTAGACTACATTAAAAGTTCATATACAAGGGAGACGTGAAAATTAGCCACTGTAAGTCACCTTTCCAATGGGATATGCTATTGGATAACAGACTATCATTAAAATCCGCACGAGCCATACAAAGTTGGCACCAACAGCAAGACCATACCTAGTACAAATTGCTTGTGGAATAACCTGAAATTGTAGAGGGAGAAGGAACAGAATAAGATCATGACATTCACTGGGCAAAGAAAGCAAAAGGTAAACCATTGAACAGGAAAGATAGACAAATACATACCTCCCCAAAAGCTAGAACAAAAGTCACCGAGAGAATGATGATAGCTACATACTGATTGAATAGTTTATCAAGGTATATGGAAGGAAGGGCCTGCAGATGAAGATTCAAAGCCAAACGCTGTATAGAAGTTAGGCAGTATTTTATGGATCAGTATGAAGATTACTCACAGTCGATATCAAGCAAAAACGCACATATTAAACAAACATAAAAACAAATATGATGTGTTCGTGACCATTCTCAACATTATAGTGACAGTCCAATGGGATATACTAAAGCATTCCTTTTAAAATGAATTACTCGTATATTATACACCGCAAAAAAGTTACCTTACTAGAAGTGCTTTATAAAAATACTTAACAATATCTTGATGATGCTTTGGTGCAGAAACATAGTAAGACTGATACCAATATTCGGACTTCTAACCTCAAAAACAAACTACGCGACCTTAAC